TTCCCACCTAGGACTCAAGCACACTCAATTTGTGGATGTTTGGCGAGGTTTGTTATATAATCATTTCTTCATCAACTTCAATTAAGACATTAGTTCGATGATATATTTTTAACATACAATTAAAAAGGCTTCTCGAAATTCTCCCTTTATGTATTTTTTATTGGTTAAACATGTGTTACATTACATGTCCCTTGTTTGAACTCAACCATATTTTTGTGAGCATTTGTAAACTTGACAAGCGTAGCCTTCATGTCTATCATAGCTAATAAAGCCACAAACATATGAAGAGTTAGACATCTCACCTTGGCCCTTACAGAGTTGATTTTTTCCGTTGATATTACATATCTCATTTCCATGTTATTTCAGAGGAAACAACCACATATAACTGCTTTCATATAAATGAAATTTAGTATTAGCTAGACATTTATACTAAATTCAGCCACAAGAGTGAGAGTCATTGTTCAACAAAAGATGGGAAATTGTATTTTCTAGAGAAGAAACTTAAATCGCTCTTCTCCTCCTAATCTACTATATAAAAACTTCATAGAAGACATGAGAAACAATAACCACGTACCAGGAAAACCCCTAGAAGATGAATTGTCTCTAGAATTGAACGCACCTCCTTCTTCTTACAACTCTTTTGGTTCAATTTTTTTGTGTAATTTTAAGTCAACATCTAAAATAGATTCAGAAGAAATAAAAAAGAATTTAGAACAACAAAACTGTTTTTGCTTCGCTTCAAAGGCGAAAACGTAAAAAAGGCATGAAAAGAGCAGGCGAGAGGACAAAACAAACAAATTTGTTTTTACAATGTCACGTATCTATTTATAGGCTACCAGGTGTCTATCTCTAGAGAGTGCTAGTCAACTATTATAGTATAGATTTATCATATACCCATTTGTTGAAACAATCTACCCAATATAAGTCTAGCACTATTTGATTTATTTTAAAAGTTTTCGTCTTTTCGATTTAATAACCTATATCAACTAAACAAATTTAAAACAGAATTTAATTGGTCATCTTGGTGACTTTCTAAACCTGTATTATTTTAAATAGTTTTCGATTTTTATATGTAGTCAATTTCAAAAGATGTATTTTCAAACACGACCTACCCTGTAATTGTGCTGAGGTGATTAGTCGATGACTGTTTCAAAGTTTCTGACACTTTACTTTGAAACAAGATATAATATTCATCACCTCTGCCTATATAGAACCATTCGTCCGCCAACTCTCTCTTTTGTGTGGAAAAAAAAAGTAAAAATTAAAACAAGAAAGCATGGAGTTGGGAAAATCAATGGAGAAGCACAACGATGTTGTGGTAAAACTAGCTAAGCATGTCATCACTACCGTCGCCAAGGACTCCAACCTTGTGTTCTCACCAACGTCAATCAACGTTTTGCTCAGCCTCATCGCCGCTGGTTCGAATTCCGCCTCCAAAGAACAAATTCTCTCATTTCTCATGTCACCGTTAACGGATCACCTCAACGCACTCTTGACCAAGATCGTATCTGTTTCCCTCGCCGATGGCAGCGAGAGAAGTGATTTGTGCTTATCTGCGGCTAATGGTGTATGGATCGACAAGTTTGTCTCCTTGAAGTCTTCTTTCAAAGAGCTTTTGGAGAACTCCTACAAGGCTACTTGCAGTCAAGTTGACTTTGTAAATAAGGTAACCCCTCTCAAAACTAATTATTATTCCCACAGTTTCTAAATATTTGTCACAAATTTTTATTCTAACCCTTATCAAAAACAAAGATATAGAAAAAAAATTTCAAGAGTCACTTTTTTGTACGGATATAATAGTATATTCAATTAGTTGTTTTTTTAATTGTTTGAAAAATGACAAAACAATACTTATATTGCAACGGAGGTATGGATTGATTCATGTTCTTTATATACTAACTTATATATATATGAGTTTTGTTTAGTGATTATGCAATTTTCTCCTTGTGTGGGTTGAGTGTAGAATGATTGGTCAATTTGTTGATCGCTTGTTTTTGAAGCCTGTTGAAGTGATTGATGAAGTGAATACATGGGCTAAAGTCCACACCAATGGAGTCATCAAGGAGATTCTTTCACGCGAATCTAAAGAGACTATCGAGACTATTAGTTGCAGCCAACTCATACTTGCAAATGCAGTGTACTTCAAAGGAGCTTGGAGCAAAAAATTTGATGCAAAGTTGACAAAAGATAACGATTTTCACCTTCTTGACGGCACCTCTGTGAAAGTCCCTTTCATGACCAGTTACAAGGACCAGTACCTAAGAAGCTATTACGGTTTCCAAGTTTTGCGTCTCCCCTATGTAGAGGATGGACGTCAATTCTCTATGTACATTTATCTTCCGGACGATAAAGACGGATTGCCTACCCTCCTTGAGAAAATAGCCTCGGAACCAGGATTTCTTGATAACCACATTCCACAATATGATATAGAAGTGGACGTTATCAAAATTCCAAAGTTTAAGTTTCTTTTCGAGTTTAAAGCTTCAGATGTTTTGAAGGATATGGGGCTGACTTTACCGTTTACTTCTGGATGTAGTCTAACTGAGATGGTCGATTCCTCTTCCATGGGTGAGAATCTGTACGTCTCGAGCATTATACATAAAGCTTGCATTGAGGTGGATGAAGAGGGAACTGAAGCCGCAGCCATTTCTGTTGCCGTCGTAAGCATCAAGGGTTTCATGCAAAGTCCAGATTTCATAGCTGACCATCCATTTCTATTTACGGTGAGAGAAGACAAGAGTGGAGTGATCTTGTTCATGGGTCAAGTTCTTGATCCTTCAAAACACTGATTGAACTTGGTGGTGGTGCGGGAGAAGACATTAAGTAATAAGGTGCGCTGTATTTTGATGTATATATAATAATATTCCTGCTTTGATGGATTTGAGTTTGTAAAAGTTGATTCCTCTTTCTATTGTTTTGTGTCTAACAATAAAAGTTGATTCTTGACTCTGATTGTTAGGAATTAGGAAACCTCTTATGGTAGTTACAGTCTCATATCTTCTTAAACGTTTTAAGAATGCCAAGAAGAGTTAAATTAATAACGAAAACTAACAGTTCCCAAATATTCTTGAAGAAATTATTATTTTACAATCATGATCTCACTTCTGTAACGATGTGCAACCCACATCTCCACTTTCCATATTTATAATCCACTTTTACGGTTTCACCTTCTTTTTCTGTTTCGGCGATCCACTTTTACCTTTTTCAGCAGATTAATCCTTTTTTTTTTATTAATCCATAATCACATTTAATTACACATTTACCCCATTGATCATTACTATACAATTGATCAAATAAGTACTCCACATTAAGGCAGTTGGTTCGTGGTCATTTATGTTTCATTCTCACTAAGGAATTCTTAGGTCATTTTCCATCCTTGTCAAAAGTACTTCTTTACAGAAGTAACATAATTAGCTTATTCTTTAGCGAAAAAAAAGAAACATAAAAATAATTTATTTTCCAAAAAGAAAAAGAAAAAGGAAAAAACACAATTGGTTCCATCATGCTAACAATTAGTATAAATGAAATGAACAGGGAGTAGCGTGGTGCATTTAGCCAAAAATTGAATAATTACTTCAAAAGCCATA